TTGTCTCGTAAACTTAAACAGTTATTTGCCAAACATAAACTTTTATTTGCACACATCAGAAATATTTTGTGATTTTGGGCCCTGCCCATGACGTCATATGAGAATCACAAACAAAAACTTTGAATAGCAAGAAAAGATTTATGATACGTGCAAATAAGTTTGGTTTGGAAGTAATTGTTTCACTTCATGAGACAAAAATATGTAATTTAATTTTAAAAAAAGTTTTTTAAGCAAAACTCAGTAGACCTTTCTCATGGTGACATGCCTATCAATTAAATTTTTGCTTTTGTGTTTTGTCTTTTTTCTGCAGTTCCACATTAAAGTTTGATGCAACTCTGCTTTCCTGAATGGACCATCTTCATCTCCACTGCAAGTGTAGCAAACAGGCAGCTCTTTTTTATAGATTACAGTCCACCAAAAGGTTGCATTGTACCCTTGTTTATATTTTTAATAAAATGGTAAATGGACTGAACTTATATAGTGCTTTTCCAATCATTTTGACCACTCAAAGCACTTTTCACTAGAGTCACATTCACCCTCACATTTATACAATGATTGGTAGGCAATTTGGGGTTAAATGCCTTGCCCAGGGGCACATTGACATGTGGCAGGAGGAAGCTGGAATTGAACCTACAGATCACAACATGACTACTCTACCCACAGAGCCACAGAATAGTGTAATTCTGTAAAGACAAAATATGTCTGGTGGTCTAGCTCTGATTTACATATCTTGCTAAATTGCAGGTTTGAATGTTGCAATACTTTCCTATAACAAAATAGACCTGCAGTAAGAAATTACTAATAAAATATCTTACATATGCATAGTTGTATGCTTTGATTGTATATGTCACAATTTTGTAATTTATCATTGTTTATTAAACTCTGAAAGCTGTGTGGCTTTAATATTCTGTCCTAGAAGGCGGTTACATGTGCCCTTTTTTAAGCACCTGCCCCTTTAGTGGTCTCTGCACGGCTCTGTGGAACACACAAATTACTAAAGTTTGTTTTTTTGTAAGGTGTGGCCATTAAAAAGAATCTCCTCTTTAGTTCTTCCTTATAAGTGGAGATACATTGTTGATGTTAACCATTATAAAATAACTTGCAAGTAAGTATTGGCAAAGCTCAAAGTAATTTCAAAGGTGGCAGAGCGTTGTCAGCAGCAGCTGCTGAAAGTAACTAAAAAAGTTACTTTTAATGTAACTTAGTTACTTTTCAAATCAAGTAGTCAGTAATCTAATACTTTTTCAAGGAGTAATCAGTAATCCAAATAAAGTTACTTTTTCAAAGTAACTATGCCATCACTGCTCGTCTGTGGACATAAATACAGTAAAGTAATATTCTAATCACAAAACACACAATAAAATGTCCATCTTACTTCTGAAACGTTGTCTGTTGAGCCCTCACATCAGTAATTGATCCAAACAATATCCCTCAGTGCTGAGGCATCTTCTGCTGTTTTAGTTGAGCAAAGTAGGAGGGACGACCCATCCAAGATGGTCGCTGTATTTCCTGCAGCCAATGTGGGGTCTACTCTTGTATTATGTCTATGTCTGTTCTCTACTCTCCTATCACTTCTTGACTCTCAAGTCAACCACGAATCAGTAAAGTTGCTTTACTCTACACCACTACTTTCTACAAACATGATCCCTTCAAAATAACAAATGGTAAAGATTACTTTTCTACAAAATGGTTTTAACTGCATATTTCCAAATTATTTTAACTTATTATACCACATCACTTTATGTACTTACAAGCATAGCTTTTTGTTTACACATATAACAAATTTAACATATTTAGGTGGACATGTTTAACACATTATATATTATATATCTGAAGTGGAACAAGTTATAGGTAAAGTCTTTGATAAACATGCAGGAATTATACTAAAAATGTATCATTAAAAGTAGCTCACTGTTTTACCAATAGCATTGATCTTACAATGAACAACACGAGAACTCCTGGAAAATAAATTTTGGTGAACATTGATTCTCGAACCAGATCCAAAGCATTTAACTTATTTGGTTTCACACCTTTATTTATTTTAAAGAAGTAAACAAGGGAAGCAGGAGCAGTTGTCTGATTTCATTGAATGTAATACAAGTTACAATCAAACACAACTTTTACTGGTGAAACAGGGTTTTGCATCATTGCGTTCTTTGTCCTGTTAAATCTTATAATATGTATTATTAATGATGTGATATGTCAAAGAAGTATATTTATTGCAATTATTTCAAGAGTGGTTAAATTTTTTAGATTATAATTTTCTGTTATAAAACTTAAGTTTATTTAGAGACAAATCTATAGGGAACATATCACAGCATGACTAAAGAAATAAAAAAATAAATAAATAAAAAGAAAGACAAAATTATTGAGTTGCTTAACAAATTACTTTAACTCACCATAAATGAAAAAACATGAACATAAATGAAATAAATTGGAAAAAAATCTAAATTGTTGCTCATTTACAAAAAACATTTTGTTCATGAAATTCAAACATGAGGTATGTTATAATATTTATATACTGGATTATTAAGATTGTAATTGCTCTTCAAAAATATGGACTAAGATTTTAATTTTAAAATACATGTATTAAATTTAAAACATGAAAAAATATACCATTATAAATCAATTCATTCTGGATACAAAAGGCAAGATGTTTACATACTTGCCATTTGTTTGCCTTTCTTAACCCAAATCAAGAATCATATTTGATATTTCAATGATTAGTTCCTACATAGCACATTTTGGTGACTAAAAAAATAATCAGAATAACAGAAAAAACAAAATGACTGAAAAATAATATAAAGTAAAACATACAGCTGTTTGAAGCTATATCAGTTATCCTTAAAATATAACACATTCAAGATGTACAAATCAAAGGTAATGAAGTTAATTTTGTAGAGCCTTGAAAATCAAAATTATTGCTCCGACAACTTTGTTTAATTTTTATGGATGGCTGCAGTTTCCTCACAAACTACATTTTCTTTTAGACTTTCAATAGCATCCTTCTTACTGAGGGTTTTCCATTGATGAGGAATTTCTCCTCTACCCTGGAATTTCTTATCATAGTACTCTTCCAGTTCCTTTTGAAAGCGACAGACAAACCATTTCCAGAAGGCCAGCTTAGAGTTATCAGCTGTAATGCTCCATGAAGCATATGGTTCTCCTGCAGTTGGGTACTGTTTAAAAGGAACTATACAATCTGACTCATTTGGCTGAAAGTTTCCATCACTTGCAACTAATGTGGTGCAGAAATCAATGACCAGATCATCTGTTCCTCTAACTCTGAAACCATTAACCCCATTGGGTCGATGAAAAGGAACGCTGTGCTTCTCAGGTCTGTGGTCCTTCAAAGTGTTGGTGCAAACAGCAGCACAGAATGGACACCTTTCCCAGCAGCAGTTACACAGCTGATCAATCAGGATCTGATCAGGTTTCATCCTGCAGTCATTCACCTTTTCCAGGGGGAGTTCGCTCATCTCTGTTGTGATTCTTTTCAGGCCTTTCTCTATCTCTTCTTTAAGAAAGTCAAAATTGTTAATGTCACTGAAGTTTTGACAACTAACAGTATCAAGTATCAACTTTGGTTTTAGTTTTCTCGAAAATTCCTCCACCCACATTTCTATGTTTCCCTTAATGTGTTGGAATTTCTCTGTTGCCTCAAACAAAGCCTGACTGATGACTCTGCTGATTTCTTCTACATTTTTCTTCAGGATAGTTTGGGCTTTAACTTTCTGTGTCATGAACATGTATTTCTTTACTTGTTCTTTGATGAAAGCCTCGACTTGAGCCCTTGGATTTTGAATGTAGGTGATGAATATGTTAAAGTCTTCTTTCTCTGCCAGAGATGCCAACACATGTTTCTCTAAGTTCAGTCTGGTCTCACTGAATGCTGGGAAACTGCACATCATCTGTCCAGCAATATCAACTCCAGTCTTGTTACAGACGGCTTCAACAGCAGAGACTTTGAGTTTTTCACA